TGAAACACTGGCAAGTCCGTTGAATTTATAGAATTAACAAACGCTTTAGAAAAACACTCCATCTTATCATACTGAACTGCACAACGATCACTTGATAGATCGTAGACAGAGAACATCGGTGTCCCAGGCAGCTCTATGACAAGATATCAAAATGATTTCAATCTCTGCGTATCCAACCACATCCAAATAGGCCAGAGAGACACAAGAGCAATGTGTAGATGCATTGGTCTCCTCAGATATTCCACACCGAGTGAAATGAGCTAGGTGATTAGACCTAAACGATGTTGTCTGTCTTGTTGTAGAATCAAAGAAAGCAAAGACTCAAAAAGATTCAACAACAACCAAGCCAGCAATTCAGTAATAAAGGTAATGAATTAAGTAAACAAAAACATGTGGTAAAAGATATTGCAACAGAATCTTAGTTGAAACAAGGGTCAACAAAGTCCCCTGCCATAGAATAATATGTAAAGGTGGATGTCAATAGAACTAGAAAACGAAATCTTTTAATTCTGTATTTAAAATCATTGGTTAAATCAATGCACTTAGTACGTTAAATCTAGAACTTTAATGCAATCTCAGTTTAAGGCATCTGCAAAACACATAACAATTCAGACCTTAACTTTAACTCTAGTGAAAATAATGTTCTTTTGATACATACATGGGTCAGTATTGAGCTACATGTATAAGTGGCTGATATAAATGTCACAAAATAAAAAAGAGTGCACATAGGACATGCGGAAAAATACAAAAACAATTAAGCGTTGTGAATCTAAATAAGTTCGTAGGATAGGTTGCTTTTTGAAATAAACAACTTAAACTAGCGGAAATTTTTCGGAAGTTTTATATAAAATTTCAAGTGCATAGGAACAATACAAGTAGTTCATTGTGACAGGACTTAAAATGCGGAGTTTCAGATATATCAAAGTGAGAGTGACATTTTTGATAATATATCCTAGATCAAGATGGAGAATAAAGAGAGTCAGATGTTAATGTGTATTGCCAGAGTTACCATAAGACTTTAGAAAAAAAGAAAGTGAAGTTAATCTAGAAAAAAAACGAACTTGACTGAGAAAAATAGAAAACCTATTTCAATAATTCGATATGCACATTATTGCGAAATCAGAATAAAAAATAAGTTCTTCTTATTTTGTTCTTGTTATGTATATTTTTATTTGTGACTTGGTGAGTGAAAAGCCAAAAACATGGAAACGCAGGTTATTTTATCAACTTACTGACTTTTTGTCTTTGATGTGCCACACGAAAAACGTATCATAAATCATGTTTCCATTTCTATTTTACTATGCTAGTAATTATAAATCATCTTGATATCATATATTTCATAACAAGGTTGATATCTCATATATCTAGGTATTAACTTTAATGATAATTTGAGCTTTTCCTACATTAAAATATTACATGAAAGGCAGGTTTCTTCGTTAATGTGGTTGTAAATTATATCTTGCTAATTCACATCTAATTAAATAACATATTATATTCATTATTACATATGGGGTCTTATGTCAAGGCTTGATTCTACGAGTTTAACGAGTTGTAAGCACTTTAAGAATGATGAATAATGCAGGTATGTGACCTTTTGTACTTCTGGAAAAAATGGTAACATTTCTAAATAAGAATATCGCCTAAGGCGATAGATGTGCCCCGAATATTCACATTTGACAATGTATTTCAGTGCACATCAGTAAAGGGAGTAATGCAAAAGTGTTAAAATATATGTAAAACACCAATGACTTTGACCTGAATAAATAATAGTTAAAGGACAAAATATTAAATATGAAAGACATCATTCAATAAATAAAGGCTGCATAAGCAAACGTATAAAAAGATATTTTCATTAGTTTCGTAACCTTTTCCTAATCAAAAGTGACCACTTCCACTAAAAGTTGACCTTGACCTTTGTACCCCCTTACTCTACCCAAAGTTAGAGGACCCCCCGAAATATCTACCTACCGAATATGAAACACATTCAACAAAACAAAAGTTGTATAAACAAAGGTGTAAAAATCTAATTTTAAGCAATAATAACATTGGCCCTGACTGAATTAACCCCCTTACTTAACTTTTAATTACTGCTTACTTTACCCTGAATTAAGAGCCCACTGGAGATATGCTACTTTCAAATATGTAACGTATAAGTCGATGAATAAAGTCTATAGAAGCAAAAGTATAAATGCCACATATGCCAGCGAAAATTTCCACCAACCGACAACTTATGTGGTTTCCTTTTCTTAACCAAGATTATGGACATATTGAAGAATGTTGACCCACAGTGTATGACGGAAAAGCGATTTATTCTCCATTCGGGTCGGGGGTTGGTAAAAATGCTGAATAAAATTATACAAATTATAAGAACAGCTGAAAAGTGAATTTTTCAAAATTGGCCATATTATCGAACATTCAGTTTAAGAAAACGTGAATTCAAAACAACACCTAGATAAACATGACCAGTAAGGAACTTCAAGTAAATGCAACTGCATTTTAAAATGATTCAGAGACTTCTAAAACATATATGTTTATGGAATGTGGTATCTTCCAAAGAAAATTTTATGACACCTTTGACAGTTGCAATTTATTCATACATATTTTTTCCCTGGTCGAGGGGTTAGAGTCGATGACTTCTAATCCAGTTACCTCTCTGGCGTGGGTTCAATCCCCGGGAGATGCTTTGGTAGTTTAGCGCGAAGGAAGGTGGTCTAGTACTGGTGTAACTCTCCAGAAATGATGGTTAGGAAACTATCCGCCTATATGACTGAAATACTGTTGGGAAAAGGCGTAAAATGAAACAAACATTTGATTTCTTTCTATGCCGAGTTGCTGTGACAAGAGCATCAATTTACAAATACATGTATGTCTATCTAATCGCCTAGTCAAGTTCATTTAGCCATTCTGTCGCAAGCGATTAATAGAATGTGACAATGCTAGGGATAATATTTATGAACTATCTAGTCTTTACCTCGAAGAAATACATTCGAATATTAAATGTCTTGAATGACATTTGGTTTATACAGAATTTATTTTAGATCGATTGTGCAGGAAGCTATAAGCTTATAAACACACTTTCGAATCCGTTCCTGGAACCAACCAGTACTGAGCAATGAGTGTAAAGTTTCTTGCTCAAGGAAACAACGACTGAACAATGACTTTTGATAAAAAAAATATCTCGTTTTGTACTCAGATGATATGGTTGTATTACTTTGATTGAGATATGATGCTAAGTATGGGTAAGAGTTTGTATTAAGACGACCGTAGTGTTATCAGTCTTTTTAGAAACACCTGACCAGGCTAGTTAAAATATGCCAATTACAATTTTCACTATCAGCACTGGTTTCTTCATGAATAAAAAAGCGATTGCACTAATTACTGCCGAGTAAGAGCCGATTTGCAGTTATATACGTTAAAGTGGCTGTGGCTTCACTAATAAGTTTTTGTTACCGACCATGTAATGTTAAAAAATAACGAAGAAATTCAATAAGACTTGTTTCTTTCTATGAAATCACACCGTAGTTTATGATTTTATTTGTGAATGTATTTTTTTTTTTTCACGTATCAATTAAGGGAACCTGTCTATCGATATAACCGGTATGTAATAAAAAAAAGTTATATTGTTACATGCAGTAGGATAAACGTACTATCTAATTAATTCGTGAAATAAAGGAAGAAGAATTCATTACATTGTACTTAATAACATAGATATTGATTGTCATATTGTAAGCAAAATTCTTTTTTCATCTTGAAATAATGAACATTTTACGTATCGTATATCATACACGTCTCTATAAAAAAAAATGAGCCGCGTCACGACAAAACCAACATAATGGGTTTGCGACCAGCATGGATTCATGCTGTTTGCTTACAAACCCTATAACAAGTAGAGAAACTGATAGCGAACTGCATGGATCCTGATCAAACTGCGCGGATGTGCAGGCTGGTCTGGATCCATGCTGGTCGCAAACCCATAATGTTGGTTTTGTCGTGACACGGCTCAAATATAAAAAAAAAGAAACGGATCTTATGGCATAATATTTCATAATTATAAGCTTTATTCATAGTTTTATTGCACATTGATTAAAGAAAAAAATGAAAGGCAAATGAAACAGTTTGTCTATTCATAGACACGTTTTCTATAATAGTAAAATCATTTTTCGAGCTGACAATAACATCTTTATTTTACTATTTGACCTGATCTTTTTTTCCAGCTTATGAACATCACTAGGTAATATTTCGAATGTACTTTAACTAAAAGTGCTTATTTTTTACGTTTCTTTGCGCAGAATAGGTACGAAAGTCACGGAATAACTTGACAATTATGAAAACACATAAACTTATGCTGACAAAATAATAAAAAATAGTAGTAAAAAAAAGAGATATTGAAATAAATAATAAAAAAATAGCATGCACTCAACTTTGATGATCTGGTAATGCAAAAAGTGATCATGAGGTGTTAAATGTAAATTAGTTGTAGCAAAAAAATAAATAAACCCCAGTGCAACTGGTTCAAATTTGTGCATGCAGATTGCAGACGACACAGCAACAAAGGAATGACTCATTACTCTGACAAAGAAGTAACCGAGGAAACGATGTATTTTTGTTATTGTAACAAAGCAGTTTAGGTATCAACGAATTTTTGCAAGCTAGCAAAAATCTGTGCTTAACGTTTAATAGATCGATGGAAAACGCAGACGAAACTGATGATGACGTGTTGATGTGCACGCTGAATTAGCATAAAATATGCAAATGAGCTTCTGTATTTCTTAAATATCTACTTCATCGTGTCATTATGCATATACTTCATGTAGACGAAAGTTGAGTTATAACTAATATTATATTGAGTTATAACTAGTCGTATATTGAGTTAAAACTAGTCGTATTTAAGTTAAAACTTAAGTCGCATGCTCAATTAAGTGGATGTTATAAGGAAGGGTGTGTTATAAAAATAGCGTAAGTAGTTTTATTAATTTAAGGTTATGTTTATTTATATAACCGATGTATGAATGTGGCTAACATCTTATTTTGAATTGTACTAGAAATGTACATACATGAAGTTATTTCGAGCTTGGAAGTGTATTTCGGAAATTATTTAAACATGTTGTTCGCTTACCAACTCTATTACAAGTTGAGAAACTGACAGCGAACAACATGGATCCTGATCAGACTGAGCGGATGAACAGGCTGGTCTGGATCCATGCTGGTCGCAAACGCACTATGTTGGTTTTGTCGTGACGCAGCTCATATCTGATTTGTAAAGATGATACTTTAACCACTTTGATTGAATTAGGATTTCTTCTCAGTCCTATACTGTAAATTGTGATAATATTTCAAATGTCAATCTAAATTAAATGTAAAAAAAAAACAACATAATTATCCCATTCGAAATTAAAGACGTGAAAAAAATGTCAAAAGCAAAGTATTCAGAATTTCTTGACATGTTTCATAATGCGTGTCGTATGAAATAAAACTAACTTTATATTCAACAGTGATGGATGTATAAGTGTACAAAAATATAAGCACGCCGAGGAAAATTATATAATTAAGCACATAAGCTAATTTTTACATTATAATTAGAAGTGTTGTGAAACTGTTTTTAACTTTGGATATGATGATTCAATCAGGTAGATATAGATTAAGTAATTCATAAAGGAATATTTAAATGAATCCTTAATGATTCAAACAGGTGCAATTCACGTGCAATTTCTTTCGAAATGCTGCTAATCAGTACACTACAGTAACGTAACTTAACTCATTATCATACAGGGTTGACTCAAAAAGTTTTACTGAATATATTCATTCTACAAACTGTTTGGTCGGGCACGAACTGAACTTTATAAATGATTTTTTTCAAAACTCGTAAATCCTCTTCCATTGATAATTTAAGTACTTATATTCTGCATATGATTAAAATAATTAACACTTTATGGATTATTCTACATAATTTAATTTATATGCATATGCTTATTTAATAAATCAATACTACTTTAATTGATTCAACTCAAAAAGAAAAACCACAATCACGCTATCAGGTGGATCAGTTTCACTAAAATAGTTCTAAATTTGGTATATTAGCCACATTAATTGCTACACCGCCTCTTTTATGCGCAGATCTTATTATTTAATTGTATCATTTGCATAATTCAATCCCTAAATATAGCTACGAATATATATTAAAATTGTATTTAATAGTTTTAAGTGAATCGTCGGCAACAAAAAACCGCAGCATATACTGGCGTTCACAACATTGAGAAGTGCACTTAAAAGTGTATTTATAGCCAGAACAATGAAATACAAACGTTACTTTAATTATATCATTACTACACTAGAGCTGGCTTCCTGTTACTCTACGTTAAAGGAATAGGAATGGATGGATTGATGTCTGTCTAATATAAATATTCATCATTTAAAAACAGGTACCATGACAGTTTTTCTGTTGACATCAACCCTATAAGTGAGAAATTCGTGTTTAAAGACACTTTTTTTACTTGAGAAATGAGTTCATTCGCGCCGCCATTTTGGCGTCCTGTCATTCTCGCGGGACAGACGAGACCGAGATTGTGACGTGTTACACCCACTTCCGGTATAGGTGTACACACTGGTACAACTGAAATATATCTTGATGAAGAACTTATAAATCTTATTGCGTACATTATATATTATTTATGAAAACATCATATGGAACTGTATTGCTTTAATTAATTAATTGAAGACGCCGCGACATTAATTATCATTTGTCCGATTTTTAAGCTTGCTGATATTCCCACCACATGATTTAAGCAATGACTGCTTAATTTTCAAAGATAAAACATCAATTTAATTTGGGTACTATGAGAAACTTCTTCAAATTGACGATATATCCTTTTATTTTGTACTTAATTTTCGCTAGACAAGCTGTGCGAATAGGGTACATCGCTCGGTCATGTATCTTTTTTCAGCATAAAATATCAACTAAATCCAATATGCAGAGATCTGCTGAGGACGCGATTTTCCGCCATTGACGCTAAAAATGAGAATGGCGCAGGAAAATCGGCAGCCAGACTAATATCGTATGAAAACAAAACTGTCGTTAGGTTATTTAGGCACCCAGTCAAAACTGGTACCAACAGCAACAGGTTGCCCATTCCCCTGTAATTACGCATATTCTCAGGTTTATCCAGTTCCCTATAGCTTTTTTCCACGTTATCTACTTACCCAATCCCTTTCCCACACAGATACGCATTTCTACTTCCGTAAATTTAATCCAATAAAACAAAAATCATAAATTTAATTAACATTTAAAATGATTATTGGTAACTGAAAAAAAAATGTGTTGCTATTTTATGAAATGCTGTAATTTACAGTATAATTTCCCCTAAGGTCATTCAGTTCACTGATGAAGCGTAAAAAAAGATGTCTATTTCGTCATTAGAATATTTGACATGGATGATTAACAAATCAGGGCAACGTTGTGCATGATCAAAAGGTCTTTCGGCACAGAGGCATACAAGGAGCAATAAAAATCGTCAGTTCACAGTGTGACAGGAACATTTGGTGCAAATTAGGAACAATTAAAATGGACAATTTTGTGTATTTGCGTTTATTTATACTCGCCACCGGTTGCCCATATGGGCGAGTCCCCCAGCAGAGAATTAGTCATTTTAGATTTTTGGAGGATAGTGCAATTACAGATACAGAAAGATGCCCCAATTCCAGAAGCTTCTCCTGGTTCTTTAGCGTGCCAAGTGTTTAAGCACTCATACATGGGACCTCGATTTAAAGTCTCATCCGAAAGACTGATTAGTAATTTTAGTTGGCCAGCCCGGGAATCGAACCCACAATGTCGAGATTACAAGTCTCGCGCTCTAACCGATTGAGCTATGCGGGCTGGCTAAAATGGACAATGCACAGTATTAGACATAAGTAGTAAGAACCAGCAATTGTGTGAATAAATTATGCAAATAAGATTTTTGAGCAGCCAATAAAAATGTTTTGCCTGCAGTTAATATAAAGCTACGATTACGATGGCATACGTTGACAGACATGTTAAAAATTTACTTTTCAAAAGAGTTGCTTATATTTTTGAAATGTGTACATCAATTATAACATATGTTCAAACCTTTAAATTTGAAAGTCAGAGTCAAACTGCCAAAATTTAATTACATGTACTATTAAAAACACGTTTTAGTATGATTTTTATAATAATGATAATAATCGCCGTTCAATAATTAACAGCCAATTATTCGTTGGTGCGTTTGTTTATTTAATTGCATTATTTGATTGTGAAACTTTGTGAAATAATAACATGTGTATTTATTAAATCTGTGAAATATTGTTTAATTACATTAAGATGAGACTTTATTGAACATAGCATGGAGTAACGGGCATCACTGGCCTGAAGTGGTGCGACCGGAAGACGTTGATTTTTTATTTGTTTCTTTATTATTTTTTTTGATTTTTTCTTTTTGATATTGTTACGTATTTTGAACCATAAAAAATCTCCTCTACACCTCCTGTGAAAATTAAAATTGTCTGGTCAATACTTTATTATATTAATATTTCGCTACGATTCAACTAGATTTATCATAAATCTAAAGATGTGGGGAAATGACATCACGCGCACCTGTTTTTATACGGCCAAACATGGCCGCGCCTACTGATTTGTAGAAATCGGTGATTTAGCGATTTAAATTTTGTTATCATTCGTTTAATATCATTATTTGGCGGCAGAAAATTTGCAGATTTATTATTTATAGTATTCTTTTTCTGAAATCAAGTTTTTATTCTAACCTTGTCTTTCCCTTTAACAATTAAGGAAGCTGAAACAAAGTGCATAATTTCCGATTGAAAGCGTTAACTAAATATATGTTAACACTTACCACACTTAATATGAGCCGCGTCACGACAAATAAACGTAATGGGTTTGCGACCAGCATGGAAACTGATAGCGAACTGCATGCATCCTGATTAGACTGCGCGGACGCGCAGGCTGGTCTGAATCCATGCTGGTTGCAAACCCATTATGTTGGTTTTGTCGTGACGCAGCTCATATAATAAATGGACTTGTCTATCTATCAAACTGGACAAACCATTCATCATTAAGGGAAAAATATACAAAATATGTTATCTTACGATAATAGTAAGAACCGTCTCAAAGTGGCATATTCAAAGCAGTCTACATTTCCGTATATTTCGGGTAAGAAGCTATGGACGTACAAAAGCAATTCGTCCGGGTTTCTAGGAGGACTTCGTTCGAGAGAATATTACGTTTTCCTACAACTACTACAAATTTGTCTATGATACTATGCCTAATTAAATTTAGAAGGGAAATATAACTGTTATTCGTTCTTCAACTGTATAAAAGTAACTTATCTATATCATTTATGCCATAAAGGTAGCACATGGAGGTCGCCATTTGACCACTTGACTGAAAGTAGTTCCTATATGTCGCCTTATTATGTCAGAGGACATTTGCAAAGCTAATAACCGAGAAGATAAGATTGATATTTTAATAAGAAGGTCTCAATTAAAAAAAATGCCATTAATCATAAATGAGCCATTTCTTACTCTGCAGACAATATAATAGTATGTTTTATACATGTACATTATTTTTTCCATGTGTTCCAGGACGAAACTTCAAAATGTCTGGTGTAACAACAAGGTCAAAGACAAGACATCAACATGAAAACGGCGCAGCTAGTGCGCATGTCAATAAGGTCAGGAAAAATGAAGTCACGTGTCAAAGATATGATGTCATTTCAAACAGTTTTAACAGCTACAAGGAAAGTTATGAAACAATTGGTAATTCAGAAGTTGGCCAAAAGATTCGTCATTTCTTAAACAAGCTGTTTTTCCCAGTATGTCTCGTTTCAACGACTCCGTTAATCGTATTTATATGTTGGTATACAAATATTCATTGTAACGGAAGTTACACAGAAATGTTCACCAGATTACGGAATGGGTCTGTTTCTTTCAATCTATTAGAAATATTGAGTAGCATCAGTGTTATCAATAGTTTCACGGTGGGTGTTGTCTTTGGATATTTCGCGTGGGCTGTCTTTTGGATGCGTGTTCTACCTGGGAAAAGAGTAACGGGTCCAGTGACACCAAACGGTAACGTTCCAGTCTATGTTGACAATGGATTTTTGCACTATATCGTCACAATGATTGGATTTTGTGTGCTAACAATTGGACTTAAAATGTATGGCATGACACCGACTGTTGTATATGACCGCTTCGGGGAACTTCTGGCATTTATGATATGCTTTGCCTTGGTGTTTGTCCTTATCCTGTATTTCAAAGGCGTGTTTGCACCATCATCTACGGACAGTGGCAGAACTGATGGCGGTTTTATCTTTGATTATTATTGGGGAACAGAGCTTTATCCCCGGATATTTGGAGTTGATGTGAAAGTCTTTACAAATTGTCGCTTTGGTATGACAGTATGGCCGTTATTAGTGTGTATATACGCCTTGAAAAGCTACGAACTTTACGGATTTGTGGACAGCATGTTTGTAACAACTATCCTACAACTTGCTTATATCACCAAGTTTTTCAAGTGGGAAGCGGGATATATGCAAACAATTGATATTATCCTAGACAGAGTCGGGTTCTATATATGTTGGGGATGCTTATGCTGGGTACCAGCTATATATCCTCTTGTTAGTCAGTATCTAGTAAGCCATCCAGTGCGACTCGGTCCATTATGGGCTTCCGTAATTTTAGGACTTGGACTGGTTTCTGTTCTTGTCAACTATCTTGCCGATTTACAGCGCCAGGTTGTCCGCAAAGCAGATGGCAACTGTTTGGTATGGGGGAAAAGGCCTGACATTATAAGAGCTAAATACACCATTGAAAGTGGAGAAGAAAGAGAAAGCATTTTGTTAGCCTCGGGTTGGTGGGGATTATCAAGACATTTTCATTATATCCCAGAAATACTCCTGTCTTTCTTCTGGACTTTACCGACGGGATTTGTGCACATGCTGCCGTACACCTACGTGATAGTGTTATTGTTCCTTCTTACACACCGTAGTTTTCGGGATGAAAATAAGTGCTCTAGAAAATACGGGAAATATTGGCAGGAGTATTGTGCGAAAGTTAAGCACAGAATAGTGCCATTTCTATTTTGAAATAAATATTCTAAATGATATGAAACTTTGTAATATAAACATTGCGTGTAAATGTAAAGACAAGGATTTTATTTTTCGGTTTTATACGTAAAATAAAAAGACTGATCCGTATTTAGCGGATGGTCTTTGTGTCCTCTAACCGAAAAATAATTATAAATGCTTGATACATGGTAGCTTTTGGTGAATTTTAGGTGCACATTTGAAAATATACGTCTGAGCAGCTTTCAGAGTTTAGCACAGGCAAAGAGTGTTAATTGCTAGTCTTTCTTTGGAAAAGCAATCTGCATATTTAATTGACATGTAGTATCTGATTAATTTTCAGATGCATATTTTGAAATACGCGTTTCTATTTTTTCTCTAAAAATTTAAGACTTCAACGCATGAAAGGTTGTTAAATGCTTACCTTTTCTTGAAGAAAAAATCTGCGTAATGAATGAATGGCTTCTTGTGTATTTTCAGGTGCACATTGTGCTACATTATATGAATGAGGCTGAATAATGAAAATCCATACCCCTTAAAAAACTAATTGGTTAAGATTTTTACATTTATGCTTATTTATGTTTATTTTACTAGTAATGCACCACATACAGATACTAGCAAAGCGATCAGCATTCCTCATCGGAGATAATTAAATGCATGTTAGCCTTTATAAAGGCTGTATTAATTATAGACGTTTGCAAATCAATCCTCTTGTCCTTTTGACAGAACAAAAAAGAAATTTTATTATTTTCTTTGATTGTAAAAATAGACTGATCAAGAGTAAGTCCAAGCTCACCCCACTCCTTCATCCCAATGTATTTGAGCCGTGTCACGACAAAATCAACATAGTGCGTTTGCATCCGCGCAGTCTGATCAGGATCCATGCTGTTCGCTATCAGTTTCTCTACTTGTAGATAATGTGGTTTTGCCATGGCTCATTTATTCTTTCACCAGAATGTCAATATTATTACATGTGTGTTAGTCTTAGAAATTTAGAAATGATTTTAAACACAAAAACAGAAAAAAAATCGTTTTCTGGGAAATAATAAATGATATGTTTCAATATTGTTAATATGATAATTCTGCACTTTTACTTTTATACTTTTAATTTCAATGCAACATTAGCCTGTGTAAATACATTTGATATGAAGATACCGGGGTGTGTATTTGAGACTATAGAAATTATTTGAACTGTCGATACCTCTGATAAAACTTGTGTAATAAAGTCATTGTCAATTGTCAAAATAAATCTGTTAACAACCTACAAACTGCTTTCTTATTGCAATAATTTTTATATCTTAAATATGAAAAAATCACCAAAATATGAAGAGGAAATACTCGAATATACAAATCTGTTTTAGTCATTCCTGGTAGATAGAAACACACATAAAATGATACATCATACATTTTATGATTAATTTCTATCTTGGACTTATCAGACAGTTATCCATTTTCTATGAACAATCAACGCTAGGATATGCAAGAGAACATCTGTCAAGCTTCTATTGTGCATAATTGTATTTTGTATAAAAGAGCAGTCTTTGCTAGCTGTATCTTGTACATGTACGTGTGTATACGGACATTTGCACGCAGGACACTTGCCCTTACTCTAAATAAATATGCATAATTTAACCATTATTGTCCCTACATATGGAACGCCAAAACGGGCATTATAGCTATTTGCTGCCAGTTAACGATCATTTTCTGTACATGCATTGTAATTGACGTTACTATAATAATAGATCATATTAAAAGTCCATAATTAACCATTTCAAAGTTTGAAAGCAACAATTAAAAATATAAATTATCAATTAATCAATTAATAAAAATTAATGTCTTTAAACCACAACAACAACAAAAAAACTCTACTTTTCGCAAGCAGAAGAACATTATACAGTGATTCTTCCTTTATACTAGATCTACGACATTAATTATTGTTGTTGCGCGTTGTTACACATACAGGGTCTTGTAAATCAACATTGTGACAAATCTTTTAAGATAAAACGAACCATCTTCACAAAATGCACGTGCCCATTTTCGATTTTGATGGCGCAAATATTGGTTCCACATGGTTGAATATGCGCAAAAATATGCAAGAAGAATATCGACTAAAGCGATTTTTAGACCGTAAATTATCTATTGCAAGTTTGAAATCGACTTATTCTAGCTAGATCTTATACTAACAATTCCGCACACCGTACAAGCAGGTGTTTATATTAATATACGTACCTGGTACAAGCAAATGGACAGACAACCGTTTAACCGTCGACATCCGTACTAGTATATACATGTCGGTGTAAAAAACACAATTGACGGACGGTAAGTATTTATCTATTTTTAACATATCCTTATAATGTTCGAGTAAATCAAAGAAAAGAAAAACACTTTCCAGTGAGAAGCGCCATTTAAAAAACCCCACAAAAATCAGGTATGCAGTATATATAAACTAATTTATTGTAACTTTAACCAAATACTTAACTTATTGGCCCTTTATATTTTTTTTATTTGACCATTGTTTTAAAGAATGAAGTTTTCATCTACCTATCTATTTTAAAATAAATTAAAAGTATGATAAAATAATTTTCAACCCGCGTCAGAAAAAAAAAACTATTATAAAAATTTTCGTATCTGAAAAAATGAGAATAAAATTTTATTTGTTATAAAATTAAAGTGAAAAATAAGTACTGTCATAATTGATGGTTGCTGCAGATTCAGTAATCGGTACGGCTGTCGACAGTTGAACGCTTGTCTGCCCATTTGATTGTAGCCTACGGTGTGATTCTGGAAATAACATTTTCGGTTTTATTGACATTATCTGAATGTCAACTTTCACATTCCACGTGGGTGTAAATTAAGTCCAACAATGATGCATTTTTAAAAACTGAAGTCAAATGTTTCGCAGTTTGTGCCAAAGTGTGCAATGGTATAATTGGTCTGAATTTATTTGAGTACGAATCGTTCTTAAAGGGAGACAACTAAGAAAAATACAAGATGTCAGCGCCCATAATTTCTTAAAGTTGTTATGACAAAATACGACTTTTAACGGTTGAATATATACCCCAGCGTCTTGATTGCTCATTTTTAAGTTGTGACGTTAGCTAAGCCGTAAGTACTTTTGTGGGATAGCAAATATTGTCTATGTGATGTGTCTTGTTAAAAAACAAATTGTTAAAAAAATGAATTTCCAAAAAAATTATGATGGTAGTGATTCAGAATCAGATTGGGATTATTTATAGCAATTACGAAAATCTCTAAAACAGTCCAGATATATTATGATATCAATAAAGTACATGCCCTGAAAATATGTTCAGGCCAATCAGCTGATCAGGTAGTCCTATAACATTTATAAGACGTTTCCGTTCGTACTATGTACACTGCAACGTCTTATCGACTTCTTCATAAGTTCCTTTAGCGAAACGCGCAGCGATTCTGAAGCGCTATTTAAACCGCCGTTATTTACTACAAAAACAATATTTTGAGTCGAAAGCTATGCAGACAGTAAATTTAAACATTTTTGCATCAATGTGCAGCAAAAAAAAAAAAAAGACTAACCTTCGATTGTAAATAAATCCAAGCCAATACAATCTATACCACTTTCACCGCTATATACATTCGGCCATTTTACCTGTATCCATGTGGGCGGGTTTTGCTAAAGGAACTTATGAAGAAGTCGATAAGACGTTGGAGTGTACGTAGTTTGAACGGAAACGTCTTATGTTATAGGACTACTGATCAGGTAACCTGACAATTCCACCACATGGACAGTTAAATTCATTGATAATTAACAGCTTAAAAGCATGACAGTCTTGTATACTTTTTGGTTTAGTATAGTAACATTACAAATTCTTGTTTCTTTTATTTAATTTTTGGTATCATTGTATACACTTTTCGTTTAGGTTTTTCTAGCTTGCAAGGTAGCCTAATTAATTTGGCATGAATGGTTTGACGCATTTTACAGACTTTTTTTTTGTTACTTTCAAACCATCCAAAATTATCTCGGTGTCTCTTTGACAAGTCTAATTTGTTGGACTAGTGACAAGGATGAGAAAATAACAATATATAAATGAATGTAAAACTATCTCACAAAATCATCTGTTTATAAATATCATATAATATAGTTATTAAACCACCGTATTACAATGTTCTCTTAACGAATATTTATATAATCGCATTTCAAAATTATATTATAAATGTAATGTGAATATTTTGAAACTGTATCATATCCAATGTTTCCTTTTTCTAGTTTTTTACTGATCTTCTTAATATATTTGTTTGACTATGCATAATTGTATGATTGTATGTATGTATGTCTCTCTAATAAATAGGTTCCACACTTGTGGACCCGAAGCTGAAAAAAAAAAAAATTTGGTATCTGTTTTTTGTCTTCATCAAAAACATATCATTGAAGGCAAAGTATAAATACCAACATTAAAGACATACTTATCATGCTCAGTTATTTAAAGATCTATGTGACTCTTCAGCCATAACCTGCTGAATTTTTCTCATGAACTGGTCCAACTTTCATTTTTGAGGGTGTTCATTAAAAGTTTGAGTTTTGGGGATATTAAAATGAAATTTTTTTTAATTGACCAGCCAACAGTATAAAGCCTGATCAGACAGACCTGCAGACTGGCCTGGGCCTTAACTGTTGGCAAAGGCTACTCACTTCTGTTTCCAGCAGATTAAGATTCAGTATAATAGGGCATAGTCACATTTTAACTCATTTCTATGTATCAAACCTTAGTGACTGATTATATACACTGATTGTATACAAAAAATGCTGATTAATTCTTCATATACACAGTGTCTATTCTAGGTGAGGGGATGGGGGGATTCACTCATATTTTTGAGAATTCCCCCTAGTTTTCAGAGGCAGGGGGGAAATTTGACATAGAGAAATAGGGGAAAAATCAAAAATGTAATAAATTTTCACTTTTCAATAAAAAATCCCCCCTGTTTTTTGAATCCTAGAATAGACAGTCAGACTGTATACAAATCTTGTTTCAATGATTGAGGAAGTTGTTTTTAAAGTCTACTAGTCTAGTATATACATGTATCTGGAAAAAATGTACATGTATATATTTATATTTTACAGATGTACACATTGTTTTCTGGGTTGTGGAAGTTTATGTTTCAGAAGGATGAGTACAATATTCTCATACTGGGGCTGGACAATGCTGGAAAAACTGTAAGTCATTAAAGATTGAAATGTCATCATAAGTTATATCACTGTGAATAATAGTAAAGTTTGACGTAATTAAATCGAAATCTTTTTGCAAATCATAATATAAAGGGATTAAACTTAAAAAAAAAGTGTTTTAATATAAGGTGAAATACTTGCCTGTGCAAATATTCTGTTCAATATGTAGGATTGCCATATGACCTATACTACTGTGTTAGTGTGATATAAAACCCAACACAAAAAAGAAATGGCCATGGTCAGATGTATTAAAAATTTGATTGCTTTGATTAATGAAATTATATCAGCAATCTGTATACAATGTATCTATGTGATCAGTTTTCTTGCTGTCGGCTGCATATTTTTAGCTTATGAACCTGAGTATAATGTGCTTATGGTGAGCTATTTTGATCCCCCTCTGTCCGAAATCTATCATCATGCAGTATCCTATCTTTAGTATGTTTGTCATCAATAATTTTTTAAAACATCTTTGAAACTAATGTCAAAGGGTTAGAAAAATGCGCAGCCTGACAGGGATTTGAACATGGAACCCTTGGAAAAGTGTTTTTCAGTTTAATCAAATGATTTGACTGGCCGCTATAGATATTTTTCCTTAATTAGTGAACTGTTTTTTACTCTGACAATATTAACATGTTTACAAATTCCATTAGGACAGTTGATTCTTAAGTTTGTGAAATAAAAACATTTTAAGCATGAAAATTTATCCAAAACATTCATAGGCAAAGTGATCTATATATTGATCTTTCCTTTATCATGTACATGTATATATTTTATAATTGTCATGACTATTTTTCTTTCATTTTAATTTTGAAGGAGATGGAGCACACATTCAGCATTTTCATTGAGAACAACTATTTTTTCCTTGTCAAGTTGAGTAGAAACAATGAAAATTATTTAATATGCTTCAATATCTTTTGCTTTATTTACTTAATTTATCATTTTAGACCTATTTGGAACAGACTAAAATGAAGTTTACCAAAAACTACCAGGGCATGCACTTAAATAAGATTACCACTACCGTTGGTCTAAATAGTAAGTATATTATTAGTTATCAATTTTTCAATTTTTTTGACAGGTTATATGGCCCAAACAGGTGTTTGTATATACACAAATGTATAACACAAGTGTTTAAGATGGAAAGTTTTAGTGCAGTAGTTTTTTCTGTCTTTAATAAGTTTTACGTAAACTATATGGAAAAACATAGATATTCCATTTACATATGTCTTATTTCCTTAAGTGTCCAGCTTTATTTGTCATCCAGTGAAAACGCTGTATTTCTTAAACATTTTGTGTGTTAATTTTCATAGAAGTACAAAAGTCGATACTACACATGTATATCAAAGTCTGTTCATAGTCTTGATTTTTCATACATGTAGTGCTTCATAGAATCCTGTTTGTAAAAATAATTATGACATAATAAAGAGAATATTAATGAAACTAAATAAAGCTTGACACTAAGTATGTAAGTATTCATCTAGAGCTATTCTACAGGAATTAGAAGCATTCTTCTTGTCAGTAAGATTTTACTAAATTTTTTTAGTATATCATGAATGTACATGTGTACATATATCATTGAACTCTGTAAAGAGAACTTTTATCTGATACAATCTGTAATATGAATTATCTTGCATTTAATTTTTATGTCTGCATATTTCAGTTGGAACAATAGTGATAGGAGGTGTAAAGTTGAAGTTTTGGGATCTTGGTGGTCAAGAAGAGTTACAGTCACTGTGGGACAAGGTCAGTCTGCATATTTAACATCTTAATCTACCTGTGTTCACATGCCTGACTTGTATTTAGAAACTGTTTATCTAAAAGATTTAAAAGTCAAAATGTTGAAAATGAGGTGGCGAACAGTGTGGAATCTGGTCAGATAAAACAGAAGCACAGGCTGGTCTGGTTTTATACAGGTGTCTTAGGCCGTCATCTTTTGGCGAAAGGATTCATGATAAATTGATATTGCTAACCATTCTAAATGTCCTAAATGAACTTGTTCATCTTTCAATCTGGACAAAAATAAATTAAATGTACAACTTTTGAAAGAAATTCTCTTATGGGTAGAATCAGTTAATTTTCAACGGATTTTTTTAGAAGTTTCCTAGGGCTATGTGAGATATTTATCATTCATGCATAGTAAAATATAAAATTGGAAGGAATTATAGGACAATGTAAACTTATTTTGTCTTTCACCTCTTCACTCACTATATACCCTTGGAAGGGCATAATGTCGTTTTAAGCTATATTGTAATTATTGTTTATTTTGTATAATTGCAGTATTATGCAGAATCTCATGCTGTTATTTACATTGTTGATTCATCAGACAAAGAAAGAATTGATGAATCTAAAGAAGCCTTTGGTAAATATAAACATTTGCATTTATTATTTCATACTTCAATTTTTAGCCCGAATTAAACTGGACGATCTAGAGATCATGGGCATCTCATTTTCAGTTGAAAAATTCAGTATGTATACATGAATTTCCTTGAAGACTTACATGTAGTTGAAACATGATTTGAGCCGCGTCACGACAAAACCAACATAGTGCTTTTTCGACCAGCATGGATCCAGACCAGCCTGTGCATCCTCGCATTCTGATCAGGATCCATGATGTTCGCTATCAGTTTCTCTACTTGTAATAGGGTTGGTAAGCCAACAGCATGGATCCTGATCAGGCTGTGCGGATGCGCAGGCTGGTCTGGATCCATGCTGGTCGCAAACCCATTATGTTGGTTTTGTCGTGACGCGGCCCATTTGCTCAAGTTAAGAGCCATGTTAATTCAAGGTAAAGATTTTTTTTGTACATTTTCAAAAATGATTGCAGAGTATTAAACAAAGAAAATTGGATTCTCTTGATGAAAGTCTGTCATTAGAAAACATTTTATATTGGAGTCTTTGAAAATATATTACTGGTATATATGTACCTGAATTTTCTATATTTGATAAGGTACTGGTTCATTGATACAAAAAAATCTGTTTTGAGTTCAGCATTTGAAAGATATTGGAAAACTCCACCATCCATGAAGAAATTCCCTTTATATTATAAAAATATGATTATGATAATTGGTTTTTCACTTCCTTCATGTTAAAAAGTAATAATTTATATAACAAATATTTGTTTATTCAGGATTTTTTTTCCAAATAACTGAAGTGCTATTAAAAAAAGAAAAGAAAACAAGAATAGTTACTGGAATATAAATTGTTGATGTTTGATTACAAACAAATTGTTATGAATGCCTTTAGCCTATATATTCATAGTGGATAAAAACCTGCACAAATGTATCATTTTCAGATAAGATGATTGTTAATGAAACTTTGAAAACGGTTCCTTTGCTCTTGCTAGCCAACAAACAAGATTTACAGGTAATTTTTGTCTTATATCTAATGTTCCCTGTCATGTTGTATGGCTGTTTTAAATTTTAAAGAGGGATTTCATTATTAATAGATTGACAATCCATATCTTCAATTGAAATTCTGTTAATTAAATTGGTTGTTGTTTATTTTTCAGCCTGTAGATTATAATGTCCCCCCTGATGCTTGGCCAGATCGTTTGTTTTTATTCGCGCATCTGTTTTCTCAGATAAAAATGAAAACCCTGTTTAAAACTACCCTGTGTGTCTTTTTGGTTGAAACCCTAAGTTGCATGTATAGTTTTTCAATATAAAAGGCAAGTTTGTGAAGCTTCTTAGATTCATGTTCCTTAGAGATCATTATGATAGAAATGTCCCACTAAAATGAGCAGTGTCAGGCAAAATTATTCAAGTGTCCTGAAAGAATTGGATCCTAAAATGGGAAACTTTTTATTTATGGATACTGATTAAAGCCCCCCCCCCCTGTCATTTTCACTGGAGGGCTTTTGTCTGCCTTGTCATTTTCACTGGAGGGCTTTTGTTCACCTTGTCATTTTCACTGGAAGGCTTTTGTCTGCCTTGTCATTTTCACTGGAAGGCTTTTGTCAGCCTTTTGATTTTCACTGGAAGGCTTTTGTCAGCCCTGTCATTTTCACTGGAAGGCTTTTGTCAGCCTTTTGATTTTCACTGGAAGGCTTTTGTCAGCCCTGTCATTTTCACTAAAGATATGTAATGTTGGATCATGTATCTCACACTTACCATTACATATGATACTAAATGCTATGCTTATAGTTATTTATTGTATAATTACAGACAGTTCATTATGGACCAATACATATTGATATCTAGATAATCTCTATTCCTTTTCTAATTGAATTCACTGAATTTGATAATTTAAGTATAAACATACTTTCATTACACTTGAATGCTACTGTTATCATTATAATATAGATTATGGAAAAAATTTAAGAATATAACTAAATGATATGAAATAATGCCAAAGTATTATCTTAACTAGAACTATCGCTGAATGCGATTCGTACCCCCACCAATGTCCTTGACAGTAGACAACTTGGAAAGGTGGCTAAGGAAATAACTTTAGTGCCACAAATACATATACAAAGAAAGAAATTATCTCTGGTGAAAAAAAGACTAATTGTACTGGTTATAGTATAAATATATTTTGTTAAATCATGTTCAAAACAGTTACAAATAACCTTTCATTTTCCCAATGTACTAAACATTTTCTAAGTCAATTTTTGACCTTCAAGTTAGGCCTTGACCTTAAGCTGGCACAAGGGTAAGATGAATTCTGCACATTGCCCAGTTGGGGTGAACATTTGAGTAAAGTTTGAAGAAAATCCTTCCCTTAGTATAGAATTTATAGAGCAGACACAACATATTGTCTAGTATTGATTGTATGTAAATTTAAAGACTTAAAAAGGGGCATAACTTTGTCAAAATACAATACAGAGTTATGAAACTTGACCTGCATATCTTATTTGTGACACCTCATATATCTTTAAAGTTTCAAGCAAATACCTGTGCTAGTTTCGGAAATATTCAAGTACATGTTAAAATTTAAGAACATTTTCTAAGTCAATTTTTGACCTTCAAGTGTGACCTTGACCTTTAGCCGGCACAAAGGTAACATGGATTCTGCACATAACCTTGTTGAGGTGAACATTTGAGTAAAGTTTGAAGAAAATTCTTCCATTAGCATAGGATTTATAGAGCAGACATGACATACTGTCTGATATTTGATTGTATGTAAATTTGAAGACTTAAAAAGGGGCATAACTTTGTTAAAATGCAATACATAGTTATGAAACTTGACCAGCATATCTTAATTGTGACACTTCATATATATTTTAAGTTTCAAGCAAATACCTTTTCTAGTTTTAGAAATATTCAAATACATGTTAAAATTTAAGAATATTTTCTAAGTCAATTTTTGACCTTCAAGTGTGACCTTGACCTTAAGCCCGCAAAAGGGTGACATGCGTTCTGCACATCCCCTTGTTGAGGTGAACATTTGAGCAAAGTTTGAAGAAAATCTTTCAATTAGTGTAGGACTTACAGAGCGGACACGACATACTGTCTAATATTCGATTGTTTGATATTTGACCTTCAATTGTGACCTTGAGCTGACACATGGGCAACATGGGTTTGCACATCCCCTTGTTGAGGTGAAGATTTGAGCCAAGTTTAAAGAAAATTCTTCAATTGGTATAGGATTTATAGAGCGGACACGAAAATGGAGACGGACTGACCAACTGACTGACGGACGGACTGACCGACGCTACAAAGCGAATCCATTATAGCCCCCCCCCCCCCACATTTTGTGGTGGGGGTATAATTAAGATGTCATTTTTCTTGACACTGCTCATTTTTGTGGGCTTTGTTTCTATATAATGCTCTTACATGTAGGTGCAAAACACTTCGAAGCTTAAATCTTTTGATGTGGGGATATCGATTTGACAAATTTGCTTTATAGTCTAGAATTGACAGGTTTAAGTTAAAGATCTGAATGAGTACGGGCAATTTTTTATAAAACATATAATGAATGCGATTGTGTTATTGTAATTATTGTTGTACATATTTCATAATATATTTGCATGTATTGCATGTATATTTATTGGCAAAAGAAAAAAAATTGCTGGAATTCCAACAATAGTTACATGTTTGATATGATATGATGTAATTTGTTTTTTTATCTATGCATTTTTGTTTGCCTATTAGAAATGTATTCTTCGTATACCTAAATGTCAGCAGAAAAACATGTTTTCATTGCAAATACATAACTGTGTATTTTAGGATGTTGTGACAGTTGGAGATATAAAGTCCGTCTTCAACAGTAGTAGAGAACTTCTCGGACACAGGGATTGTAGAGTAAATGGCGTCTCTGCTTTAAAAGGGTAAGAAGAAAAATTTATATATGTTTCAGTGGTTTGATACTGACAAATATTTATTAACCCTTTACCTCATATATACCCTCCCCCTCTTTTAGGCCTCAAATAGTGAAAAAATGTCCTATTTGGGCCCCAAACACATGTTTGAGAAATGTTGCTAAAAAAAGTGAGCACTTTTTTTGGCGCCGCCCCCCCCCCCCCCCCCCTCCAAAAGATACATCAGGTGTGGGATGTGCCCCCTTCTGTTTGGGGGGTTTGAAGGGGGCGTAGTCCCCCTCATTGCCAAGAAATTTTGGACTTGTGAGAGGCTAAAAATGACCCCGGGTCGATCCTACTGTAATGTGTGACCAACGCTGAAAAGCCTTTGACTCTATCTCAATCCCTTGAGAAGTTGCAGCACTTTGAAATAAACTTTGATGGAAAAAATCAAGGCAAAATAGTGATTTTTGGCATTTTTGAGATGTCCCCTCGTTGCCATGGTAACAGAAAATTTAAGACTGAGCATGTTGTTACAAAGGCAATGGTCCAGTCAACATTTGTGCCAAGTTTGATTAGTATTGAAGCATTTTTCATAGTTTCATAGCAGTTTGAACTTGTAACAGTAGGCTTTTCAATGAAAACGGCCATTTCACAATATGCTCATGAGGGAAAGGGTTAATATAAATGTCATTCAGCTATAAATAGAATACGGTATCTTTTATATAAGAGAACTGGTTATACAAAGATTTCATTGTATTCTTGTTACATTATAAATGTATGGTTATTTATTGTCATATTTCCTTTTTATACAATTACACATTTGAAACATCATTTTTCATTAGATAAACATGATGTTTGTATAGTTTTATAAAAACTCTAAAAAGAAATTTTATTGTAACAGCATTATAAATTTGTTATAAAAATTCCTGATAGGTTATATGGCCGTATATAAATGGTTGTTTGCAATATATTTATATAGAGCATTATATGTATGGGCCAGTAAATGCACAATTATTCACAATACTCATTGTCAGAGACCAACTGTCACACCCCACATGAGAATCAAAACCAGCCACCCCTGGGTGTTTATAAACAGTTGTTTATTATATAACCCTTGTTGGGTAGCTTTGGTCATATAAGCCTACAATCACATATACTGGGTCTTATAACCTTTTAAAGAATCTCAAATCTTATAATATATGAGAACATGTATATATTATGTTTATTTCAGAGATGGCATTAATGAAGGTATTGAGTGGATGGTGGATTGTATAAAAAGGAACAGTTTAGTGCGACCTCCCATGCAGAAAGATATTACATGAAATTTTTATGGATGGTCTCTTTTTTTGTGTACATGTACTTTATATACATGTGGGGACCATTTTGTGATACATGTAAATTGAGGGTTTATTGATAAATTATTCACAAGGAAGTTGAGTTCATCAACATACAAATACAGTGTTATCACAATATTTCACTATATTTTTCAGAAAAATGAGGGACAGCGTTGCTTCAACCTGAACTATGTTCAGCATCATTGATACTTTATTTATTATATGTTAAAAATCTGACTTTGAAAAAAATGCGAATTAGTGAAGTACTTAAATTCATTTTGTTTTTTGACTGAAGCTCATTAGTGAGACTTGTGATTATAAAGGGTCTTGGACATTTGCACCATCTTCCCCAGACCTTTACCCACTTTTTTTTACAGTGGCAGACATTGCCCCCTTGCATGTTTGAAAGGGCTGACATTTGCCCCTGTAAAAAATTTGAAGGACACACATTTGCCATGCTATTTCCCGTATCCCGTTGCATTTATAAATTTGGAGGGAAGATGTTTTTAATTTTGATTTTTTTTTAAAATTTGGGAAAATGTCCGCCCTTAAAAATTTTAAGATGGGGGTGCAGATTATCTGCCCATCAAATGTCTGCCCCTTTCAAAGATACAAGGGGGCAAATGTCGGCATCTGCAAAAACTGGGGGCAAACTTTGTGGTGGATGGCTTTAATTGTCCAAGACGCAAATATCTGTTTACAAATTATTAGAGCTTTGAAAAACTGTTTTGAATGGTATATGAATGAGCCCAAAGTGTCAGTATGAACTTGTAAAATATGATTTGTTTTTTTAAATGATAGTATGGGTACCTCTGAAGAGGAGTACAGTTTACTGAGAGTTTTCAGGTTTAACTACATTATCTGTGCATGATGTATGATCAACTAATGCCTTGTATTATTTATTTTATTAATCTAAAAATTGCATATGAAGTTATTTGCCTCAAGGTGATTTTATTATATAATAAATATCCCTTGGGGATTATTTTTTATGAGGATGACATTCCACCAAAACATATAAACAGATCTTCCAGAGTTTTACATAGAAGGATATATTGAGGTATAATGATACCAGATACCTTTCAGTTTAAAGAACAATGTACAATGTACACTATATGCCAACACATTTATTAATCTTCATTACTTCTACTCTTAGAAGTAATGAATATTAATAAATGTGTTGGCATATAGTGTAATTAAAAATAAAACATCTGGAAGCTTAAAGCGGTATGCCTCCTGATAAGGCATACTATTTCAAGAAAATGGAGTAAATTGTACTAATATTTACAGAAAAGTTAAAAGATTCAAGTAATAATTTACATATTATGTGACTGATTTGCAATATTTATAACTACATGTATATTTTTATTGTGTGACTAAGGCTGTAAGGGCTATTTTTGTATATTTTGACTTCATTTTAGTAATTTGGATTGTAAGTCTTGTTTGCAATGTGTAAATTAAAATCTTATCAGTATTTTGCTAGAAATACATTTTCAAAAGTTTCATGAAAATAAGCATTAATCTGGAGGCATGCTGCTTTAACAAACCAGATGGCCAAATTTGACAAATAACCCATTAAAGGAAGCACACTATCTCTTTGATAATATCTTCTTGATATAAGAAATCAATCTTCATATTTCTGTAATAGTAATGAGAGAGAAATTACCAAATATCAAAAATATGTATCATGTGTTATTGTGAATTAAGGATTGTTGTTCATGTATATAAGATTTTTCTGAAAGTTGCTTGAATGGTTTATTATTTTTGTTGGGTTTCATATGTATGTATAATGTTACTTGTTAGGTAACTTGATTTGTGCAATATGAGGTATATGTATGAATAAAACAGGAAAAAACAATGTATGTGTGATTTACTTTCTTTTATAACTTTATGAATGCTTGTGTCAATGTAAATTCTTGTATCAATTATAATTTTCTTTTATATAGAAGTTCAAAGTCACTGCCAGTTTTCAGAAGCTAAGTTTGACTGTGAAATCCTATGAGGTAACAATGGATCAATTCCTGCATTACTACTGTATGTCCAAGTTTCAAAAAAATTTTACTTTTATATTGAAATAAGTTAACCCATTTTAGTACTACATAGTTCTTATCATTTATTTTTCAGAAGATGAAAATAAAATCTTAATGGGTCTTATCGATGACATTTAAAGTGTCCTTGCTCCAGATCCTGCTTCACATAGTGTTATGTTATATAATCTTTGGAATGATGTTTTGACTCTAATATAATTGGTGAAAAAAATGCATACAAAAAGCGATGTCTTTGTCTGGCCATGTAAGGGTTGCAGGTCTGTACACCAAATCTTCCAAGTAAAATAAAAAATTCATATAAATTAAATAACATCAACTATAATAACATCGAGTTAAAATGCAAAGGCAACAATAACATATCTAACTAAATTTTGAGTTAAAATCCATAAAGTTTGAAAACTGCTGAGAAAAAAATGTATCAAAATCATACCACTGAAAGTACACTAGAAGCAATCAGTTAATGTTCATTTGTATATGCCCCCCTGACATATTGTGTATATGCTCCCCTCAGCATATAGTTCTTGAGTGCAGAGGTTAAGATAAGCTGGTACTACCTGTACTACTTATAATAACTTTGTAATTTACTCACTTACCACCACACAGTTCATGATCCTGGCAAGGTACACAGGTATAAACCATGGTTGGCCATATGTTGAGGGGTTTTTGAGGCACTGGGTTTCATATTTACTATTATTCACTTAACTTAGCCCTTTGGTGCGTTATTACACCCTTTTACGTTATTTATAATTTTATATGTTGTTTAGCGTTGTAACGCCATTTTCTATCAAAGTTTGATATACATGACTACATGATAGATCCCTACTGTGACCTTTTATTTAAATAATAATAGATGTAGCCACAAATATTGACTTGTGTTCTTTTGTTAAGAAATATTGTGTGGTGAAATTCTTATTGTAATCTACTAATCCGTTAATCCAAATTGAAAAGATTAGGGTCATGTAGGGATCTATACATTGTACTCATTCGAATAGTTTTTAAGTCTTATGAGTTAACTATGAGTTAACTCTTAATTCATTGTATCACAAACCAGTCAGATATATGTATTTAACTACAGTACCACTAAAATATTCTTGTTCATATGTGTATTCAGCAGAGAGTGAAAGCTGATATGCTGAACTGTTGTGAACAAAAACTCTTGCTAGTCATTAATTACGGTCAAACATTCTCTGTTCTTCATCGCAATTTCCGCGCAACATACTGTTGAATATTTTAGACTTTGTTTCTATTATTTCTGCAGCAGTTTGTAATATTTTACTAGAGTTTGTTTTATCGCCATTTGCCTTGTTATGTACTGCTTCAGCTAGAAAAGCGATATCTAATACCAAAGATAACGGCCCAAGGATGGCTGCAGAAACAGCTGTTGTCGATGCTGCCAATCGTGTTGCCACAAGTCCTATCCCAACCCCGCCATGGGTCGCTCGAAAAACAGAACCAACTGCCAGAAACCCGCGTTTGCTTTTACCAAAATCGCCATCTTCAACATCCGAATTTTTTCCTTTAATTGTTTCAAAAACAAGTTCTACATCATGGAGCGCCTTTGCCACATCCCTTTCTTTGTCTTGCATATTGTTTTGTAGTGTCTTGATGTGTCCCAGTTTTTTGTTTTCTTTCACGGCTTCTATTGCCCTGGCTGTCCCTGCAGCAACACCAGACGCCATACCTATTGCTCCCCCAGCTATGCTTAGCGCTAATGATACTCCAAACGTCGTCGGTGCTAATATTATTCCGGCTACAACAAGCCCACCAGATACAATTCCAGCTGAAGAACTTGCAATAACTGTTGTTGTAACTTTCTTCCTTCTTTCGTCCATTTCACGACCACCCAAATGACAAGAGCTTACAAAACCTGTGACGACCACATTTCTGTTGTATACAGCGTTATCAAGTGCTTCGAGAGCTTTGAATTGTTTCAAATAACTGCACTCAAACACTGAAACAATAATTATTAATGTATCATTCCCTGTTTGTATGCATACGAAAGGAAACTTAGTAAATTGGTGAACGATAGATATAAACAACGATAGACTAATACTAGTTGATAAAATCATCTAATTAAGAGGTATAATAAAATCAAAGGGCTGCAACCTCTGTGGTATTTTCTGATCTTTGCAATCTAAATCATAAGTTGACTATCTGTATGTATTTTCCTGTATAAGTTTATTTTTATATACTATAATTAATCTTACGCAGCGACTGCGTCTTTAACAGTTTGAGATTGATACATATGGAATTTTGCATGACTAGAGTTGCATCAAAAAATGACAGCCACACTTTATCCTTGCATATCGTGGCTACTTCCTTAAAAAAGACACTTCAAAAAAAAAAAAGTTGCCTAGACTAGTATTTGAACCTTTGGCCTCTCACACCCTAAACGAGCGCGCTACCTCTGCACCACGGTGAAGTAATAATATGTAGTTTGAATAAAAACAAATACATTGTAATTCTAATTTGAGAATTTCCATTTCGTGTTTGTAATGCTTACTCGAGGTATTTTGTTCACGTTTAACACTGATGAAAATAATTTAGCGAAAATCTTCTCGACAAAACAGTACGACATGTATATATTCCACTACTCGACAGTCAGATTTATTTGTGTACTTCGCTCTGGAGTATTCGGTAATCGACATAGCTAAAAATAGCATTTTCATTGATTAAGCTTTACGGAAATAGCCGAACATTTTTCATTGGATAAAAAAGATATTCATCCGCGAAATTTGTGATTGTAACCTCATATTTCTATTGACTACTCTAAACGTTTAATGCACTGTAATTCGTTAAATGCCTACATTAAAAATTATTCTTTCTTTTAAATTGCTGGTTTTTAAGCAGTTCTGAGTGAGAACTACTTTGCGTTGTTAGGTCTGTAAGGAAATTTTGTGTTAGACCGTGGATGTTAGCTATGTATTTACTGATCTTGCGATCAGAAAATACAAAAAGTTCTCGGCCCGATATACTTCTAGCCACTTCACTGACATTTACACACGATACGTCGATACCGATATCTTACAATAAGATATCGGTATCGACGTATACTCGATCAGTAATCTTCAATAAGTTATTGAAGATTACTGATCGAGTTACACGCGGTTTAACATAAAACACTCTTTGATCAGAAAAGGGGTGTGTCAAACCAAATGGAGAAAGTTGAAATCAGAGCCGTCACTAAGTACTTCTGTAAGAAAGGAAGGGAAATCCATGAAGACTTCATGTATACACTTGGAAAGGAGTCCCCTTCCTATAGCACTGTGAAAAAATGGGCTGCTGAATTTAAGAGCGGCAGGGAGAGCATTGGAGATGATGAGGGGCCTGGCGGCAAAAAGACGCATCCAACGATGAAACTGCCGAAGCTGTGCACGATCTGGTCATGTGTGACAGAAGGCGAGACTTGCGAAGCATTGCTTGGGAAGTAGGTATAATCTTTGGTTCAGTTCAGGCAATTCCGACTGATGTCTATGGCATGTCAAAGGTTTCCGCTAGATGGGTCCTCAGACAGTTGACTGACCACCAGAAACGGACCAAAGTTGAAATTGCAAGATATCTTTTGTCTCGCAACGAGAATTAACCTGATCTTATGTACCGGATCGTAACTCGGGATGAAACAAGGGTCCAGAATCAAAAAAACAAAAAACACCCAGATCATGCAGTGGAAGCACCCTGGCTCACCCCCTCCGAAGAATTTCAAGAGGGTGCCATTAGCAGGGAAGATGATGGCTTCATTTTTTTTTTGATAGTCTGGGGATAATCATGATTGACTATCTTGAGCAAGGTCGTATCATAAACGGTACAGACGTCTGCGTCAAGAAATCGCGCGTTAAAGGGGGGGGGGGGCAAACTGACTCAAGGCGTTCTGCTCCTGTACGACAATGAGCCAGATCACACAACCCAAGTTGCGATGACTGCTGAAACTGACTGCGGCTTTGAAATTCTTCCCCATCCCCCATATTCTCCGGACTTGCCCCCCTCTGACTTCTACCTGTTTCCGAAACTGAAAACCAAGCTTCGTGGTAGACGTTTTGGAAGCAATGAAGGTGTCATAGAGGCGGTCAATGAGATAAGTTTTATTAAGATAAGATAAGATAAGTTTTGAAGGGTTAAACAAGTTGGAGCACAGGTGGGCAAAGTGCATTGATGTAGAGGGCGATTATATTGAAAAGAAAGACCATTAGTTGGGTTCGCTGACTACCGGAAGTACATCGAGCAAGGAACTTTTTGATCGATCCTCGCACTCATAGAAAAGAGATTTTGAGGTCCTATTTTATGATATAAACAATGCTTAAACTAGGATAACTTGTTTGATAAATACAATAACTGTATTGATATTTTTTAAATGTCTCTAAATCAATTCCGAGCTTCAGTCCCTTTGTCATAATTTGATTATTACATAGGTATCTAATAAAGTTAAGTGAGGTCAGTCTTACCAAATGAATCCCAATCCTCTACATATGGTGACAATACCTTTTTCTCCTGACGATGTATCAAAACCTTTCAGAAGAGAAACGCATATAATAATTATTAAATTATTATCTTTTATGACAAAACAATTTCATAATTGATGATCAGAATCATTATAATAGTTAACAAAGTTAGTAATACATGAAAAAAAGAGAATGTGGAAATATTTTATATTATTATACAATGTAATAGAGAATTTTCTTAAGACTTATAACAATACAGAGCCATTGAAGTACTGCTTTGAAATATACATAGTACTATTTTTGTGGGTATAATAGTGTCCAAGGATACAAAGTTTTCTTGAGTCAATATTCAACATATTAAGCTGTTTATTTTAAAATAAGTGAAATTCGTCGTCAATATCGTTTAAGCAACAAAGTGTACGTATTCGTTTATCACGGGGCGAGCGAATTCGATGTAAGGCTTATATGTGAAGTAAGATGTAATTTTGCCGGTGTATTTCCATATTAACTTGGCGAAATCATGGAAATGAATATATTCCATTTGTACGAATCAAAACCATGGCGTAATATACACAATCTGATTAAAATCAGCTTCTAATTAACTCAAAGCAGGAAATAAACTTGAGGAGATCTGAACTTTAATAGTCAGATTGGAATACACACAACTTAATATCTATAGTTCCACTTTCATTATTTAACGTTGAGTGCGAATTATTTTAATTACAGAACTATAGAGTACTGAAAGAACGATTTGGAAACTAGTATACAGACTATGTATAGATATTGCAGATAATTTTGTGTTCATGTACATGTACTATTTATAAAAAGTAAATTAGCAAAAAATTACGAAACCATGAGTGACATGGTATACAGTCATCTTCAGAAATAGATATGAGTTAATGTTATATTTTTTGTATGAGGTACGTAGGCTTAATACTTTGTACTACTGAAATAAGATATCTAGTAAAACATTCTCATTATTTATTCTCTTCTTTTCACGACAATTTCACTGCATCGTCTGGGAAAATAGTATCGTATATAGGACTATTCACTTGCATGTATATCACGACATTTGTCCAAATGATTGTTGTAGTTTGTGTGCAGTACTATGTTTATGCCCCTTTGTTGTACTTAACATACTTACAAAACAATGACATAACTTAGCAAACAAATAAGTAAAAAAAAGTGGGAAATATAATTTGGTTAATAAATATACCTGACAAATAATTTTAAACGCAAGTTCATTTTGTTCTGCTATTCCTTGGAGCATGTTCAAAGATTTTGAACGTGCTCTGTACGCTGTTGCCATACATGTAAAAGTTTCCTCATCTATCATGTCAAGTGATCTAAATATCTCACTACAATAAATAAATATGTACATTTTGTACAGTGTACATACATATGAAACAAGAAGTATCCTTTAAAAAGACACTCTGCCGAGGTAAATATGCTTTTACTTGCAAAAATCATTTCGGACATTTATATTCATAAAGAATTGCTAGCAGTGCGTGATTAATGATATAATATACTTGATTAATGATATAATAAGACAGTTAAATTTTTAGTTGTTGTGATTGCAAACAGTTATGTAGGACTCTCAGTAGGGTTAGTCATATTGTACGATCGTAAGTCTCAGGATTAATTAAAAATTAGACGAGTAAACCATTTTAGAAATGAACGACCAATGAGATTCCCACATTTTAAAATGACCAATGAAAAGCCTACTGATATCCAGTTCTTTTAAATATTACAGGAAGTAAAAAGGAAAAAAAGAAAAGAAAAAGAAAACACAAAAAAAAACACGAACCAGCATTGTTTAATAACTTCCCGGTTACATTTGCTGCATATCTCGGATTTGAATGAATTCGAGACGTTCAATAATGTACTTGGTACATCTATTTCAAGAACTTGTATATCTGAAACATAGGAGATATATGCAAATTACGATTACAGCTAAATGTTTTGATACTTCTGTATAATTAATCTTGTTTCATAGCAAAAATTGATAACTACTTATGTTTACATGTATTTATATAGAATTGATCTGTGATCAAATACCCTCGTTGTGTAAAGAAACACCGAGTGATGTCATAATATTGAAATTGTTCGATACATGGTAATAAAGGTTTCTTTTAAATATTTAAACGGAATTCGAATTATTGAAACAAAGTGGAATTCGTCCTCTTCATCATTTGAGATGCAAAGTACACATCAGCGATGACGTCTTTCAGTGTTATCAGGACGATAGATTTTTGTATTGAGATTTACCCTAAACCAATCGCCAGGAATTTCTTACATAGTAAGGTATTCAGAGGTTCATTAATTGGTTTGTTTCAATTACAACACCATCTGTATGTAAAGTACAGTAAAAACTCTGAAAACCGGACCCTGTGTGGACTTGACCAAAAGTCCGGTTTTCAGAGGATTCCGGTTTTCAGAGGTTTTATACATTCATTGATAATTATGATGTGTTTGAACAATGACTTTGTTCAATCATTTTGTATTTACTTTTCAACCCTTTTGTCTAAGTCATATTTTAAGTTCTTTTTGCAATACATGTCTTAAGTAATTTTATTATGCAAATCCATGAATATAATTCAGAAAATCAAAAATAAAAACAACATATCTTTTTATTAGCTTTGAAATATGTTATTAATGGTATTTATTTAGTATTACTATTTTTGCCTATAATTGATATCAAAACAAAGATAACTTCATGATCAAAATTTAAAGCAAAACAGGAATCATTTTAAAAACAGTTTCTGAACTCTTTTAGACCTTTTATATTAAAAAAATCATAACACATTAAAAACATTTTTGAAAAATTAAATCTACATGAGGAAAAACACAAATATGATGAAAGAGCTATAATTTAATTGACAATAAGAAATTAACATACACTGACAAGTGTTTTCACACCTGCATAGATAAAAGGAAATGACCATTACCTGGTATTTGAACATGTCACCTGTTGAGATTATGTTTAGATCTACATTAAAATACACAGAAAGTTGACACTTTAAATTGCTGTCCGGTTTTCAGAGGATTTTTAATGCATGTTTAGCATTAGAAACCATAGAAAATCGTCCGGTTTTCGGAATTCAGAGGTTCCGGTATTCAGAGGATTTTTTTTCAATGAACATATAGGGAGAAAATACGGGACTTTTAAAATGGTCCGGTTTTCAGAGGATTCCGGTTTTCAGAGGGTCCGGTTTTCAGAGTTTTTACTGTAATAGGTTCAATACCTTTTAAGATACTCAAATACATTCCAATTTGACCTTCTGCTTTTGGTTTTCTTTTGTCCTCAATGTCGTGTTGATATATAGGATAAAACGTTCTCACTGGCGACATATACATTGTAATAAATCTTATACAGCGTCCCGTTTGTTCTTCATAGCTGAATAATGGTTGATAATATACCCAATGTAGACCGGTTTCATTTGTATCTAAGATATAAATCGGGGTATTTGTGCAGGTAGCTATTGCATAAAGAAGTAGTTTTATATAAACCTGGTAGTTAGATCCGCTCTTGCAATCTGCAATAATCATCTCATACACTTGCTTTTTATTTGTATCACTGTCCTGGATATGAACATTGTCTACTAGCATATCTGAGACAGACTGGAATTGTTCCGATTTTTTCTCCAGCAGTTCCACAACAGTTTTCTTTAAATAATCTGAATTTGTGAGATGGCTAACACAATTTTCCCCACAAGGATTGTTAAATGTATGTCCCGGTGTCCTGTCGGTTATGTCTTGAATACAATTTGAAATACACTGATACAGCTGCAATTCGGTGGTTTGCACAACACGGTTTTCAGCTTCTGTCCTAAGAAATTCCGTAATAACTTGAAGTTGAGGAAAATCTCCATCATCCATTTGATCCATCATGTATTAAAATTTGAATCTCCGATTGTAACTTATCAACTTAATCAACATCTGCAAGCATTTCATCTATATAATACTAAAGGCTGATATTTATGCTAAAAACAACAAACGCACACTAAAAAGCTTTAAACATGATATATTAATAGCAACTGAATACATAAAAGTATAGATGAATAAACAAATTAATGACGCATGATATTAAGATTAAATCAGCATTTTAGTGTCATACGAAATACATTTCAGTTATCACCTCTTCTACACTTCACAGCAAAATATCCCGTGTTTACACGTTTCATAAGTAAAAATCACAGGAACGAATAACCGAGGTTGTTATCTTAAAATAGTTACATTTTTATTATCTTAAGTGCTTAATTGTTATCAATCAAATGTTTTCATAGATTAGTTATCTGTCTAATTATCAGCAAAGTGATTACAATAATATTTTCACCACAACATATTTGCAGGGACGTACCTTCAAGCCTCATTATTAAAGAAATGATATTATACATATGCATGTACATACTGTACATAACAATAATATTATCTTTATCATTGTATATTTTAAAGTATCATGATATACACTTTCAATTTAATTTTTTTTTCATGGTTTGTCAAAACATTTAGTCTATTCCTTATATTTTCTATATATTAGAACTATATCATCAGATGAATAATGTGCGTATTTAATCTTAGTTGAAGGATTCCCTAGCTTCTCCCTCCCCCCACCAAAAATAAAAATCTTTATCATTAAATTTCATTGAATCCTAACGCTTTAATCATCAGCTGATAGGGTGCTACCGCGGAAGTTTGTTTATCATATTGTATCACAAATGTTAAATTGCCATGACTTGTACCTTTGGAGGAAATAAAGAGATATGTTATAAATTAATAATAATAATAATAATAATAATAATAATAATAATAATAATTTATAATAATAATAATAATAATAATAATAATAATAATAATAATAATAATAATTAAATGCAAAAGATATTGATTCCCAGTGATTTAGGTAGGTGAAAACAATGTAAAGAACAATTAAAATTAAAGAAAATAAAAGAAAGGAAATATAACAAAATGTACACTGTATAATCTTAATTATGCGAATGACCACCCATCTTGTAAAAAAAAAAACAACAAAAAAACAAAACCAAAAAAAAAAAAAAAAACACGCTGACTGTTACGCAACCTGTAAGCTCGAATCTCGCTGAGGACTATGCACCATTTCATGTGAAAAAGTTTTCCAGCTGAGGTACCGGAAGGAGTAAGCCGCCATTACTGCCCTTAAATACAATCCAATAATTTAACATTATTTAAAAAATGCTAACATTTGAATTCATTTCAGTCATTTATTGTATCATTTTAAGTAACCTGTTTGTTTTTCAACAACGTTGAATTCAAGGAAAAGAGGATAATGCGTTTTTATATTTGACATTGGTCTTTACGGAACTATTCACTAATTTCAAATTGCTTATTAAACAAGAGCTACATCCTAACACAGGGACCCAGCACAGTGTTCAAAAAGTAATTCTAGAAAAAATATATACTGTATATAATATATAGACAAAGGGGTTGAACTCGCCAAATCGGCCGAATGTCACTAGTCCAGTAGATCTATAAGTCAAAATTGCAGTCATTTTTACGTAAATCATATCAAATTGCACCTAAATGACATCACTAGACATTGACAATAACATAATTGTCCCTACTTATACCGTTTTTGAACAACAAACCCATATTTCGGATAGATTATCGTATTTTTGCTAGGTCGGACACGATCGCGTAACCTGTCCCCCACTCGATTTTCTACGTGTAAAAACACAATTTTAAACCATGTCGACCTGTCAACCCCTTGTCTATATATTACATATAAACTATATATTTTTTTCTAGAATTACTTTTTACACTATCCCAATACTGTGCCGGGCCTTATGATATACACTATACAGTATATATTTTTTTCTAGAATTACTTTTTTACACTATCCCAACACTGTGCTGGGTCCTTGTGCATCCTTCTTATATATTATCAATATTTGTCATTGACGATCAAGGTAACAGTAAAGGTCAATGTTACATTTGATTAAATCATCATTTCTGTTGTGTCATCAGTACTATTTTGCCGAAGAATGTATCAGCTTCATAAATAGATAACAAAGTTATAACAATTTAAGAAAACTTAAATAATTTGATATTTAAGGTCAAGGTCAAATATGGTTAAAGTTATATCGAAATATATGTCTGTTAACTTAAGTCATATGTGTTATTTTGTCCAAGCATGAATCAAAATTGTAAATAAATAACAAAGTAATGTTAATTTAAGCAAATTTCAATTATTTGACAGTGTGACTTTGACGGTCAAGATCAATATTGAATGTCAAGATCATAAAAATAATTCAACATGTCGGTTTTGTCCGAGTATGAATCAGATCTGTAAGTAAATAACAAAGTTGTGGCAATTTAAGCAAATTTCCTTGACGAAAAAAGACGATAAAAACCGCAATTTTTTTTTAAAAAAAGTGAGATATGAGCCCCTTTTTAAAAATGTACTATAAAAGCTTTTCATCGCAGCTCATGAAATATTTATTTTCACACCACTCGATGAAAATAAATCCTGTTTTTATGATAAAAACTTAAACATCATGTATAAACTTATCCATCGGAGTGTGTCGCATTAATTAAATATATTATTACAAAGTCGGAAGAGTGTCAAGCTGGGTATTGACAGAAATAGTGTAAAATGTGACTTTCAAAATTACAAATGACTGAGTTAAAGCGAATACCGTTTGTGATTTATTGAGTTTTTTAGTTAAAATTGAATTATGCAACTTGTTAAGACATGATTACGTGACATTTAAGTATCATATATTTATTTATGTGCAGTATCATTGATAATTATATACGAAAGTGAGATATAATCTTTGGCTAGTATATAAATCCGTGTTTCGGTTTCTAAATTCATATGCATTTTTACATAAATTTGCATTTTAACATAAATAGTAAGACTTAATTACAAAGATTGAAAGAGAATATTAATGAACTCAACTGTATCTCGTGTGCACGACTCACGACATATATATTGTCTCGTGCGCACGACTTAATTACAAATGTATATCGTTCCCACAACTTACTAATACGTGGCCACGACATAACTTATATCGTGCCCACGACATAATTATTTCAATATTTCAAAGTTACCATTTATCCACTGAAAATTGATCTGCTTAATATTTAAAATAGATCTAGACACGCATGCATACAATTATGGTCTCTTCTTGGCGGGTCTTTGGAGACCGGATACCGGAGAAAGTCGTTTAGTAGGTTCAAATTGAGGGATATTGTTTGGGTGCAATGGAGAGAATGGATTATTTCCAGGCTTTTATCGAAAACACAGATAACATTATGAAAAAGAAAACAGTGTTAGAAATTAGCAGTAGTCCTATAGCCCCAGACTACTAAATTTCTCCTCGGGCTACCAACTTTTCACAGTAACAAGCCCGACCAGGCTATTGCATTTTCAGAGGCAATATAAAAAACTGATTTGAACAAATGAATCGTGCTACAGAAATGTCTATTGGGCTAGTGAATATTCCAATCTGGTAGCCCGACCAGCCTAGTCGATTCAAATCCTAATTTCTTACACTGAGAAAATGAGGGGAGCTATTTTAGATTTTGAAAATGGTAGCAAATTTATGTACTTTAACTGTTTGAAGGTAACATCCGCCGATGCTGGCAACGACGTTGATTTTACTTTTTAGCAGAGCAACATGCATCGTTGAGGAAATGCAAATGGACGATGAAGAAGAGTATTTGTGTCCGATTGGTTGTTTCTTTTCGTTTGGTTGCACTGTACTCAGGAATTTTTCTTTAGATCAGACAGAAGTACCAGCTGATGAACATTTTCAAAGATCGCTGTATTGTTTACTACAATTTCTTTCAAGAGGTAAATTGGCCTTTTAAAAATCCATGCCATGGCTATAAGCCGTTATCCGGTACTGTACGGATTACGTGATATTATTTTTTACACGATTATTTACAGATAAAGGTGAAATAACTTAATGTGTTCGACAATTTTGAAAGTTACAGAAGCTGCCACTTAACTTCTTCATAAATTAAATTGTTTATGATGGAAATCTATAAATTCAAATCAGTCGTAGAGCAGATCTCTATGGCATCTGTCATAATGAAATAAAATAGAGATACTTTCTGTTTAAACTGGGGAATTACATACTTTTTTGTGTGGAACTGTTGTATACAGATATTTAGATCATTAAAAATGATTGTTTTTAGCACACCTGAGCACAGAGGTGGGCTTTTATGAGGGCATTGTGTGCTTTGAAAGTTGTCTGTCGTTCGTTATCCACAATTGTTTCAAACGTCTCCTGCTAAACCACTTGATGAATTAATTTTTGACCAAACTTAACAGGAATGATAGATATGTGGTTCAAACTTCTTTACAAAAGTTATATAAATAGTTCCAGTTTAATAGTCAGTCTGTTCTACATGTACATGTAGTCTGATGCATCAGTTGGTCACAAGGCTCAAGAGCTAAAAATACATGTAGACTTTAAAAATGAAAAAATGACCCAGCACTTGGGGGTCACTTATTTTACCTAGACTTGTAAAGTAAACATCATTCCAGAAATTGAAATGCTGAGAGCTTAAATACTTTGCATGCTCCAGCGGTCACCAAGATTGACCCAGTCACATGTATCACTTATATTAGAACTATATCATCAGATGAATAATGCGCGTATTTAATCTTAGTTGAACGATTCCCTTCTCTCTCCCCCACCAAAAGTAAACATCTTTATCATTGAATTTCATTGAATCTTAACGCTTTAAATAATCGGAAAAAATCAGGAGTGTTAGAGTGGTTACGGTCGCTGACTGTTACACCCACCTGTAAGTTCGAATCACGCCGAGGACAATGCACCATTTCTTGTGAGAAAGTTATCCAGCTGAGGTACCGGAAGGAATAAGTCGCCATTACTGCCTATAAATACAATCCAATAATTTAACATTATTTAAAAAATGCTAACATTTGAATTCATTCAGTCATTTATTGTATCATTTTAAGTAACCTGTTTGTTTTTCAACAACGTTGAATTCAAGGAAAAGAGGATATTAAGTTTTTATATTTGACATTGGTCTTTACGGAACTATTCACTATTTTAAATTGCTTATATTAACCTTACGAGGGTCACCTTACACTTTTTATTTATGTCTGAAGTCAGAAACATAAGAGGAAACCTATTGTAGTAAAGAGTATTTTTAAAAACAACATTTTTTTGTAACAAATAAAATTCATTTTCATATTTGTCGTTGACGATCAAGGTAACAGTAAAGGTCAATGTTACATTTGATTAAATGTGTCATCAGTACTATTTTGCCGAAGAATGTATCAGCTTCATAAATAGATAACAAAGTTATAACAATTTAAGAAAACTTAAATAATTTGATATTGAAGGTCAAGGTCAAATATGATATCATATAGGATTTGCAAAGAAATTGAAAATTCTGAAATCAGAACTTAATTAAACAGGGGTCACATATTTTATACGTTTGTTTCATGATTCTAAATTGTTGACAAACTAACTTGATTGTAGAAAATATTTAAGTGATTTGACATACTAGAATGGAATATAATGAATTATACAATACGTATTGATACTCATTATCAATAAAGACAGATATATAATGTGAAGATTTTATTATTTCAGACACACATTATCATGATTATGTCACGTTTTAATGCACATACAAGTACATCTTGCCTTAATACATTTTACATGTAATAAAGTATGTAAAACTGAGCTAATGGCCCAGTAGGAGAATGGGTTCTCCCTTAAAGTCTAAAATTCTGTCATACGTCTCCAATCTGTTAAAAATTATATAACTAGATGCATTTTATTTACTAAAGAACAAATTTGAAGTAATAAACTCTATATGATTATATTTATTTGAAGCATCATAAATTTACAAATATACAAAAATAGATTATATCAAACATATTGTATAATTCACTTTAAATACTTTGCATGCTCCAGCGGTCACCAAGATTGACCCAGTCACATGTATCACTTAGTTTGTACACATGTATAGACTTCTACAGGAAAATACATTTAGGTCTTCTTTTATGAAACTGCAATGCTAATAGCTTAGATATTTTACATGAAGGATTGCCTAATGAGTAGTGTACCATTAAAAGTTTATACAATGTACAAGTCCTGCCCCTCGGATCAGAAATGGCCTTAAGTACGTTGCTGGTCACTTACTTAACATAGACTTCTCTAAAAGTTCAATGCTTAAAGCTCAGATATTATGCATGAAAAGTAACCTAGTGGTTCTTTACATAAGTTGTATAAACCATGCCTTTTGGGTCAAAACTTGCCCATCCTGGAGGGGGTGGAGTCACTTACAAATGTAGTTTATATAGACTTAAATAGTGAAACAATCAATTAATGAAGTTATTTTGTGTGTAATTACAATGCCATGAGCTTACGCATTTGCCATGAAGCATTTCAAAGCAGACATCTACCAATATTCTAAAAATTTTGTTGCCTGGAGAAAAAAAAAACAAATCCTGATTGTGACATAATTATTGGCTTTACCCTTTTCTAGCATGCACCTCAGATGAGTGATCAAGAGCCATCATGGCCCTTTTGTTTGAAAGAAAACTTAATGATTGTTGATTCCTACATTATTCATGCTCTTATTTTACTATCAAGCACTGTGAATAGTTGAGCACCCTGTCCTATTGATGGCTCTTGTTATAAAGTACATGTCTGACTATTTTAGTTAATAGTTATTGTCTGTTATCTCACGAAATGAAGAATTTGGCTATTTTCATTGAAGCATGCTAATTTATTTGGCTATTTTATATAGAGCATCCTGCACTGTTAAGAAGAGCAGAGAATGAGAGTGCAGCTGTCATAGCAAGGCGATATGCAGAGCATTTATTGAGACCTCTTTTTGACGAGATAACTTATTTAATTGGTAGATACCCAGAAGCAAGGCTTGTAAAATGTTGTGACGTTGAACACCCTTTGTCTGGCCATTGTGGAGATACTTCCTTTGGTAAGTCAATGCGTATAAGCAGTTGAATAGCACAATTGATATGGTATTATGAGGGTTCTGGGTTGGAGTCTCAGACAGATTGCATTTTTTCTCACCCTATGACACATGTATATGGGGATTTTAGAATTACTTGATAGAACTATTGGCTCTTATGAGACATAGTGTTGCACCAGATCTAAAACATAATAAAGGTGAGGAAAACCTTGTTAAAAGTCTAGGGGTCACATTTTTTTAACTGAAATTCATTGAATTTTGTTAGAATGTTTATATTAATGATACATGTATCTTGGATAAGTTTGTAAATAGTTCATCTAGGTTACCAGATAAAATCAAGAAAAAACATGTGTCTTTCAACATGACCCTGACCAAGTCTATTGTACCTTGCAAAAGGAAAAGGGACAAATATATTGTTATGGCATTGTCCATCTGCCCATCCATTCATCCATCCATCTGAATTTCATTTCTGCACTATTTCTCTGGAGCTACTGACTAGATTTCAATGAAATTTTGTAGGAACATTAAATTAAAAAAAACAGATCATGTACATAATTATCATTTGCATGTCTCGATAGGAGCACTAAACTCAAGAGTTATGGCCTCTGATTGATAAAGCAGTATGTAACAAGAGTAACATTTGGTTCAGCAACTTCTTACTGGATTTCTACAAAATTTTATTAGAGCTATCGATACAAAATGGGGTCAAACCATTCAACTCAATAGTTAAGCAGAAACTAACATTGTTAACAATGATCTTGAGTAACTTGTCTCATCTGGTTAGGTAAACCTTTTTGGCAAATTGGTTACTTACAAAAATCATTACTGATGACATGTATGTTTACAAAAGACATGTACTTGCATGACATAAGAAATATACAAATTCAGCATTAATGCATTTCTGGCAGGCTGCCAAAATTTTGATCATAGTAAATTTAAAAATAATTAACACAGAGCAAAAGGGGGTTGAAAGTGATAATAGACATGCTACCAGTAATAGCCAGGGGGGTCAGTTATCTATTTTTGATCCATCTCTGGTAGATCTATGTATTTATTCTTTAATACATTTGTTGAAAAAAATTATTCTCAATAAAGTTGATTTTTCTGTCATTTTAAGTCCTGTTTATAGAGAATCCCAATTAAATTCAGACTTACATGTAGAATCACTTCCCTGTATCAGAACAATGTTTGTAGATTTAAGTGACAAGTTGTTTTTTTTCCTCTCAAATTTTTTTTTTGGCTCCGTCTAAACTTATAGTTTTTATCCATTGAGGGATTTTTATATAAATTGGCAGAAATGATCACCATAATAAGAAGGCATGCCATGCAAATTACCCAGATCCCTACCTCAAAGGTCATACTTAAAAGTCGAAGACTTTGTTATAGGGCTGTGTCCAGTCCATAACTTCTCCATTCATCAAAGGATTTTGAAATGAGTTTGCACAAATACAGGTTTTCATCATTTGAAAATAGTGTGTCATGCACAGCACCCAGACCTCTACCACCAAGTCAAGGTCAAATTTAGGATGACAAAGCTTTACATGGTCAATATTTTTTCCTTGTCCAGAGAAAAACTCTGCAAGTTTGAGAAAAATTCCAGTGAAAGTTAAAATATAAAAAGATAACATTAAGAGGAAGTGCACAGCAAAAGAACCAAAACTCCTTAAATTTTAAATTACTCCCCTTTATGAAGTTACTTTCAGTTATAAAAACTGCTCATATGTATTTCTTTTGACACATACACAGATGTTATTTCATTATATTTCTATGATGACATCCAATGTTGTGGGACATTTTGACTGTTGTTGTTGCTATGTTCAACAGGCTGCGTATTAGCATGATTTTAAGGCCAAAATGCAAATGTATAATTGGTCATGTGACACCAATAACTAATGGAAAAAATGGTCAAATTTGTTTCCATTGAATTTTGATTTGTAAAATTATAAATGAATGTATATATAGCTTATTAAGATTCTTTGGTCTTTTTTTTCAGGTTTACAAAATGGATGGCATGGAAAGTTGGATATACTTATCATGGATAAAGATGAGTCGGGACATCCTGCATTAGGAGTACCTGTATTTATTGTAGAGTCATTTGACGACGACGATAATGTTTCTGTGTCCTCGGCAAATTCGTTCGATAATCATAAGGATAATTCATGGGCTCAGAGTATGGCAGAAACAATTGTTTTTTCATTTTTACAACGTAAACAGAATTTCGGACATTTACAGAATTATTTGATACCTGGCATAGGAGTTAGTAGTGAAAAGTTAGTTGTGTTTATGTACGACTGTGAGAATGACGTTCTTCTAGCATCTGTAGGAATGGATCTGTTTGATAAAGGTGATGTTCACATGAGGACCGTAATATTTCTCTGGTTAGTTTTGAATTACAAGTTGTTTTGCAGCGGAGTAATTGATGATTTTAAAAGTTACCGAGCAAATTTTCACCGATTGGTTGGTGAGAGAAACTTCAGCAATACAAAACTGAAGTATCTTTTCCATTCTGCATAAATTACACCAAAAATAAGCGTTTTGATCCAAATAAACTTTATACACCTACAAATCTCAAAAGGAGCTTAGATTATCCTGAAGTCAAAAGTTTGAAATTATTCAAAAAGCAATGACTATAGAAAAAGAGTATCATATCCTAATAGAAAATTGTTTCCTTAAGTTTTGTGATTTAACTCTGTAAAACACACCTTATCAAATGAATGCAAGCTTAAATGGTCAATGGCTGTTTGTTTTTCATCTGTAATCCACAAAAGCTACATGTGTTTAAGCTGCATAGTTCAGAATATGATGACTCGATAAGCCTCAGTTGTCGATCTGTTCATCTGTTTGTCCACATTTTCTTGTCTTCTGAAAAGAGAGAAAATAACTTGGCTAAGATAGTCGCCATGATGAGATAATGTGCAGAAAACAACATCAAAGGTTTCAACCCTCAGGTGCAAGGTCAGACCAAAAGGTCAGATATAAAGTGTCTACATCACATCCTGCTCCATGACTTAAACTGCTAAAATTTTTTTAATAAATTCTCACAAATGATAGCCATTTGATGCAATGTGTAAAGTGCAACATACTGATTGCTACTCCCTATGTCAAGGTGAAACTTACAGGTCTATTAAAATGTTCATAATTAAGCTCACAGCAATTAAGTGACTAGTTGGGAGATTTGTAATAACTTTGAACAAATGACCACCCCAGTGTGATAGGGCCACAGCCAGGTTATTATGTTCAAGGTCAAAGTCACATATAGAGAGCACAATTACTTGGCCACTTCCCCCAAGGTAAAGTACAAACTGAGAAGTCAAGTGTTTTAAAAGTCCAAATTATGTGTCTGCTTAATAACTTATTGACTATTGGGAAGGTTTAGAAATTACTTGGCTCAAATTATCACCATCATGACACAGTGTTCAGAGCTCATCATTCATGTTTCTACCCTGAGGTCAAGGGCTTATTTAGAGGTCAAATGTTCTGATCCATAATATTCAATTTTAGACTCAATAATAACAGCCGTGACACTATAAGCTTACAAGCCTGATTTCATGCATGGAGGTCAAGGTTGGTCAAAGGTTAAAAAAAAAACCCAACACATTCATGTCCATTGTTGAAAGGGGATATAGCTGTCCTTTTAGACTGTTGTTTTTATTGTGCTACCGTTAATTTTTGGCCCTAAACTTTGTTATACATGAAGGGATCTACTGATCGATTGACTTACTGATGATCAACATTTGCAATACATTATAACCCTTTTTCTCTGGAGAGCTTTTTATGCTCCCCGAAAAATTTCGGGGGAGCATATAGTCGTCGGGTTGTCCGTCCGTCCAGGAATAGCCTGTTACTATCATTCATTAAACTAAACATGTACAGATTTTGTTTAATAAGTAGACCTGAGTTTATGTACTAAAGTGACTTCATCCTTTAATGCATTACAAAGTTTTGCCTTCCAGGGAGAAAATGGGGTATAATGTTTTGCAAATGGTGATCATCAGTAAGTCAGTTGGTCAGAAGATCCCTTGGTTTACAAAGTTGCTTGTTGCACGTTGAGTCTGTGTTAACTATGATTGTAATGATGTTCAAATATTTGATTTTGCTGACCAATGCACAATTCTAACACAACCCACATTTTCCCTATGAAGATAATTGTTCCATGTCATCACTCACATCTATCATTATGTATAACAATTTAGAGTAATAACTCTAGCATCTTTTTTCAAAAGTTATCTTCTATTTGATCGTAGAAGTTTGCTTTAAAAATGTTACTTTTAAGCTAGATTAATCAAAGAATAGGGAGGGTTATTGCCTCACCCAGGTGTTGGTGTCTGTGTCACACACACTTTGGTTATTATTTTGCGTACAAGTTGGTACAAACAACAAAAGAATGAGTTGAAACTTCACACACTTACTTAAGCATAAAAGTAGAGTGGTGGCTTAGTGGTTAAGATGTTTCAGAAACAAACTAAAAATGTAAATGACAAAAATTGTAAATTACTGATATGGGTAATTTATTGCAAATAAGAAACTTCAGCCAAACAAAAATCTATATGTATTACAGTCGAATTGTTATAAGGCATTTTTCATATTTTTTACACCACATGGGCATTTGCTTTATTTACTGGAACAGATGTTCCATTCTTGGTTCTGTAAAAAGGGGAGGCTATTTCTAGGACATGCATTTAAAATAAACTGTGCATGTCTTATGATTTCTAGAAAGGAAATAGTGATAAAACCTGATTACAATAAATACCAAAAAGAGTCTGTTATCCTTAAAAATTAAAAATTCCATGCTGCAGGAAACATTCTATTGGTTACATAGAACAGTCTGGGGCATTTAATCAGCAACTTTTTGCTGGATTTCAACAAAATGATATGGCAACCACCAATACCAAGTTGCATAATAATGAAATTTTAAACTTTTTCTTCAGACACATTAACATTTTCAAAAGACCTTTTTCAACTGAAATAATATTTTGATATCCTATATAGTAAGTATTTGCCATTGGTTTGATACTGCCCTGCCTCAATATCACTCTGGTCATATTACATTATTTCTGTAGGAAGCCAACATGTCAAAACTAGTGATCAATCATAAATATGTTAGTTTTTCCCCCCGCGTATTTTCAACATTTTATATTCTGTAAAATTTAAGAACCAAAAAACTGTTTTTTCCTTATATGCAACTTGTTTCCTTGTCTCAGGTGTTTTTTTGGGGAGCCTTTGACATTTTCAACAATATCTTTGGAGTTTTTGTAATAATTTTATTTATTTTATGTAATGCCAATTGTTTGATTCCAGAGTAATTTAAGATACAGGAAATGCAATATTGCTGATAATTTATTATGTTTTGTAATTTTTTCCCGTCATTTTATTCTGACGTAAATGATAATATATTTGATCTATAGTGATTTAAGTCTGTAAAGGTGTCAGACACCTGTGGCAAGCAGCACAGCATTAAAATCAATGACAAATTTTGTTTTTGTTTTTAATGCTGAAATCCTTCCTGGTTTAATAAACCATTGTATAAGGAATTATCCAATGGCTGCAAACTAGGTACTGGTTACTTAAGCACGTTTTAGGGAGTTATAATAAAGACATATAGGCAGAATTAAAACTCTTCAATAGAATTTCATCAATATTGGCACGATGTTAGTTTATGATCACAGAAATATCTAAAGCGAATAAAAAAAATGTACTTATTCAAGGTCTTTTAAAAGGAAGATATTACTTATACATACCTCTACAAAATCTTGTTTTTACTTCCGGATAATGTTTTGCTTTTAATTGTTGATCACAGTGCTTGATAATATATGCAATTCCATAAATTATTTCTGTTACATTTTGAATACAGGGACTTAAATTAAAAAAAAAATGGCAAAGGTTTAGAGAAGAAGGAAAATGCTGCTTTTTAACCAGGTTTTCAACTAAAATCAGTTATTGTAATGCTAAAGTCAGTAGACAGGTAGTGGGTAGGTGGGCGTCAACTTTTGGCCTATTGACACCAAACTTGGTATCTGGGTAGATTATATCAAGAGGCAGCATGGGATTGCTACCCAGGTGTCTGTGATCAAGGTCAAGGTCACTTGCTAAAATAGAAATTCATTTTCTGCTCATTTACTTTTGCTTTGGCCTATTCGTGTTTAACTTGGTGTATTGGTAGCTTATATGAGGTAGCTTTTGATTACTATCGAGGTGTCTTTAATCATGGTCAAGGTCACTGTTGCTAAAATTAGAAATTAAATTTCCGATTAATAATTTCAGTTTGCTTTGACCTATTGACACCAAACATAGTATGTGGGTAGCTTATATCAAGACACAACTTGGGATTACTCTCCAGGTTTCTGTGAACAAAGTCAAGGTCACTGCGCTTAAAAAAAGGAAATGCAGTTTTCAGGTTATAACTTAAGTGCTTTGACCTAATGACACAAAACTTGTTGTGTGGTTAGTTTATATTTAAGATGCAGCTAGGGATTACTACTTAGATATCTGGGAGCAAGGTCAAGGTCACATGCTTACAATAAAATTTTCAGCTACTATTTAAAACTTCAGTACACTTTGACCTATTGATTCCTGACACATCAATACTTGGTTGTTGAAAACTTGGTTTCGTCACATTGCAGCGCTCCTTGTTACTCATTCTTGAATTTTGCACAATGACTCAAATGGAAATAAGTTACATGAAAATAAGAAAAAGTAAGTTATTGTTTACCTTTATTGTGAATATTAATCTGACCTTGGATTAAGCAAAGAGTCAAGTTCAAGGACAGATAACTAAAAAATAGAATGGTGACCCCCTAAATTAATTTCGCTTAAATATGTTTTCTGTAACCTTATTCTAAACAACATGCCAAGTTTATAGAAATGCTATCGAACAGTTTTAATTTTACATATGTGTCAGCATGAAAACTCCCGAAAACTTCTTTAATGCAGTAGTCTCATGTGATTGGTGATTTATTGTTTAATAAAAAAATAAATTGAGGACTTCTTGTCAAGTTTACATATGTTGCAATCACAAGGTATGAAATGTAATGTATTATGACAAACAATTCATAACAACAACAACAACAACAATGTCATTAAAACAACAATTTTTACAATCTTTTTTTTTTACACATTTATTTCCTTATTGACAAGCAAAATTGAAAACTAATAAAAACAACTTTTGTTTTCACAAACTTTAAATCAAAACCAGTATCTCAGTATAATGGAGTTTAGAATTTTTCTTTAAAGTTTTAAAAAAGTTTCAGACATTCAATTCTGACAAGCCATGGAATTTTGTCAGACCAGAAAGTTCTTAGAGAATCTATGTTAGGTAATGTTTTTGACAGTACTAGATGCAGGATGCAGGAAAAGTGTACCATCGTCTAAGCGTCTAAGAGTTTAATTTTAAATTGTAATATCTCCTATTATTTATTTACAGATTTGGTTTATACTTGGACAATAACAACATGTTGAATAATTTAAACAGTGACCTGTAAATGATATTGACATTTAAGGTCAAATTGTTAAATAAATGTAATAATTATCTCAAGTTAGTTATTATTTACGATTTTGAATTATTCTTGAACAAAAGATTTTTTGACAGAACTGGCGGTTTGAAAAATTAAAAAAATGACATTAACCATCAAGGTTAAGTTATTGTATTTTGCTTTAAATGCCATACCTATTTATCTTTAGATGATTTATTTTTGAACAAAAGAACAGTTTTGAAAAAAAAAGAATTAATGATAATTCAAATGTGATATTGTTCTTTGAATGACCATGATCGTCAAGGTCAAGTTATTGAATTTTGCCTAAGTTGTCATAATTTTGTTATAAATCATATTAATTGTTTTTAAATGCACAGATGTTATTCATGTTTGGACAAAACAACACAGACTGTTACTGAGGTTGAATTGTATTGTAGGGGCTTTTTACTGCAATATTCTTTCTCCAATGTGTTTGCCTAAGAAATAAAGAAAAGTCTTGGGATGGTGCTTGTTTTAGAAATGTATACCTTGTCATAAAATAACACATAAGACAAATAAAATGTAACTTCATGTTTGTATCTTATGTAATATCTTTTCCAATGGTAAGTATCACCTTACAGAATAGATCGAATGCATATTTCTACCTCACTTGATTAACAACTGAAACTAATAATATTCGAATGGGCTTAACATAGGCTATTTGGCTTACTTCGGACTGCTTTTGACACGTGACTAAAAGAATAAAACAAGTACAAAATTCTGCATCAGTGATGCATTGCGGCAAGGAATTA